TTACAGCAGGTGCAAGGTCTATTTCTGCTGGTTTTTATTGGCAATTGGACCTTCTGCTTTAATCCTAGATCTGTTCCAAGGCAGATCTAGGATTCCTCCAACAACTGGAGGAACAAGCCTGAGTTCCCTTGCAGTGTGGATCTTTTAGGAAAGTGTGTAACATCAGTCTACTAGTCTCTCTCATATTTGGTACAGCATCTAGAGATGTAACAAGAATCTATTGGTTTTTGTAGTTTGTCTCATTTTTCTATCAGTCATTTATAATGAAAGTGGTGAGAGTGGACTTCTCATACTTAAACCCATGTTTTCGTTCAGAAGTCATTTGGTATCAGTCACTATTTTCCCAGAACAGAACGGAATGAGAAAAAGACCTTTTAGGATTGATATGCTATATGAGTTTGTGCTGCTAAAGGAGAAGCAGTATTCTCAGTAAAAAACTATCTATCTTCTTCCATTTGAATATAATCTTTCCTTTTTTCTGAGGCTTGTTGGGCACTGTTGAGAATAGAAATTTTTCACTAGGCCCTGTGTAAAGCATCTTGCATCATCCAGTTCATCCTTCTTTTTTGGAAGCGGATCATGTCCAAGGTATATGAAGCACAGAGGAAGGCTTACCACCCCTAAACATGATACACTATTTTGTTATTAATTTCAACTAATTACTGCCTTTACAGAACCTTATACATTGGGTAAAATGACATTATATTAATACATGCTTTGCTTTTCAGTAGAAAATATAACTGCATAAAGATTATTAAAATCAACCTAATTTATGATCTTAATCTCTTTTAATGACCTTCAAAATTGGTCTTTTTCATTCTGTTGTGAAAAAAGGGCATGACCTGTAACAGGTGTCAGAGCAGCCTGAGAACTGCATACAGCACAAGGTTCTATTGTGCCAGTTTTATGTCAGAAATATTCAAAGAATCATTAATATAAACAAGAAAATGCTCAGTGTTGAAGTGTCTGCTGGTTAAAGCTAGGTTTAAATTTTATGCAGTAATACACTGTCTTCATTTTCTTTGTAAAAAGATGTCTGCTCTGTCCTCTTATAAGCTGATAGTGGAAGTCATCATTCTTACATTTCTGTAACATAAACCATGGACTCTGCAAAAGCCTTAATACAGATGCATTTTAAAGGAAAATTTGTGTATTTAAGTTCTTGAATATAAAGTCCCATAAAGAGAAAAAAAATTCTACATCGAATTCTAAAAAATTTAATCTTTGGTTTTCTAAGAAACAAGCAGTCAAACAGTTTATCTTGCTAATTTGAAACTTGTCACTGTTCTTTCGTTTGATTGTACATCCTGCTGGATAGAAAGACAAGTGCTTTCAGAAAGCACTGAAACCTTTTAAAACAATTTGTTTCTAGAAGAAAGGATGCCTTTTAAATTTGGTTTTGTTTTTTCTGTGTCCTTGAAATGCAGTTTATTATAGAAATGTCTTAAAGACGTTAGCTGACGTTTTTGGCAGTTTTTTAATTTTGTTTTTCATAATAATTTCCTATCTTGCTCTAGCAAGATGGCAAATTCTTTTTGTCAGCCTTACTGTTCATACCTGTATGTATGTTAGAATATCAATCTGTACATTACTCTCCTCATAGCCTTTTTTTTCATGACATACCAACATGATGGTCTATGTTTTAATGAGTAAGGCATGTTGAAAATACTTTTATAATTTTTAAAACATGTAAAGGTGCAAAAAAGCACCATTATCAATGGTGTTCCAGTGGAAGAAAGTCAGGCATGTTCAGTTAGTATTTCCAAGGCTGTCTTAACAAAGCAGTCTTGCTTAAGGCAACAATTCTCTCTCCAAGAGGCCACTAGGAGAAGCTGTTTCCAAAGTTGAGGACTGGAAACAATCCACAGCCAACCCAGTGTCCATATCTAATTCCTGTTGGAACAAGAATACAGTTTTACCTTACCTGCTGTGGGTCTTCACAATAATTTAATCCTACAATCCATCAAGTGACCTCTTCAAATTATTACAGGTTTTAAGACCTCTAGAGATCAAAAATAATTCTAGATGATGCTCCAATCCTTAAAGGATTATATAATGTGAGGAAAACCAATCCATTGCAACAGGAAAACAAAAAACCACTGCCTAATCAGTCAGCTTTTCTAGTAACTGCTGTCAGGACAACAATCTTGCAAGATTTTTGCAGTAAAAAATAAGTTTTAAAATTCTGGTCAGCCTTTACTTTCGGTTTATTATTTAAGTGGTTCATGGTTAAACAGCTACTTTCCACTTGAATTTACTAGCTCTAGTTCATGAGATACTTATTTCAAATCTCTTTTGATATTTAAGTCTGGGTGAATTAAACAATTTCACTTGTGACCAGAGACAACATTATATTTGTGCCAGTTAGACTGTGATCTAAGCAGATAAGACAAGCAAATCCAAATCCAATTGACAGAGTCCTCAAAAAATGGTAAACTAATATAAGTGAGAGAGAGAAGGCTACTCAGGTTTTGAGTGTTCACTCTTTCACCTGGTTCTCTAATTCTAAAAAATGTTGTGAACAATAAGGACGAAAAAGAGTTTGGACACAAGGAAAATTCACTCTCCATTACCTTCTTGAGAAGATGATGTTAAAATGAAAACTCTTCTTAAGACAGTCCATCACTTTTCTTGGCTGAGTTCTTGTAAGAGAGTTCCCAGGCTGCAATATCGAAGTTAGTACTAGTTTTGAATTGAAAAAAATCAAGTCCATAACATTTGAGACAGTAGGAAAGACACATTTGTTGTTGCTTTTATTTGCAAAATAGTTCTAGCATAGTTTATGGATGGCCTAAACCTTTGAAAACAAAACAACTGTGTGAGTCTGATTTTCCTTGCAGGCACTGTAATCATAAATAAAAGTAACCAGATCAAAACAGTACTATTTATTTTATTCAGTCTTCAAAGTAAATAAAGAAAAAATATCCAGAAGATTAAATGAGTGGAAATATTGAAGTATTCATCTATTTTTAATATTTCAGCTTATCTCAGAAACAATTTCTTTTTTTCCATGGATTCTTTTCAAATCAGTAGTAAGTATATATTCCCTAAAGTAGAAAAATTATCACCGGCATGATATGTCTCAGGACTGTGTTGCATTTGTATATTGTTGTTGCAATAAAGTTTGCAAGAAGAAGAGACAACATTGTGGTTTAGACTTCGTGCTATTTTCTAAAAGCAATAGAATAGCACAATGTTTCTGTTTTCAAGAGATAAATTTTTCAGTGTTATAGGTGGTCATTTTCCAAAACCTTTTTGTGTACTCCTCCTTCTGGGACATCAGCTTCCATGCAAACGTATATTTAGCAGTTCTGAAAATTTTAGTTGTTGTCAACAAGGTGTTCCTTACGACAACAAACTCAGTGAAGTGACAGGTCCCTGGTACTTAGAGATCCCAGCCTTAGTGCAGGGTGACAGACATGACATCCTACTGGCTCACCTTTTTCACTTGCTGTTGTCTGGACCCCTAGGTCTTTCCTGACATATATATGACATGCCTCAGCGAAGCTTAATATGACAGAACTATTTACTTTATCAGTCCAGAGCACAATCTCTCCTGACAATGAAAGCAGACAGTGCAATTTACTTAAATTCGAGCTCATGCCGTTTGTCAGAAGGCTGAGGTAAAGTATCCTGGCATCCATCAAAAGAGAGAAGATAAGTTTTTTGCTCTTTCACATCAGATTTATACAATGGTGCGTTGATGTGCCTCACTACTCCCATCCCCACCATATCTGATTTTTTATTGTTGTCTTCACAATAATTTAAGGAAATCGGGCATTCTTTCCACCTTGACTTGACAGGTCACAAATATAAGTGATTTAAACGGTGAGAGAATTGTTTATGTCATGACCAGGTAGCAACTTATCCCTTCTAGGTTTAAGTATAATGCAGAAAGTTAAAGTGACAATTTAGGAAAAAGATGCTCATAGAATCCTAGAATGATTCTTGTAACATTCAGAATGTTCCAAAAAAGAATGTTGTCTTTCTTTATGTCATTTTAGTACAATTTTCTCAGTTCTAGAAACACTGAGATAGTTTTGGAGGCTCTGAAGAAGATACAGGGCAGAGCTACACATAGTGTCAGGTTCAGAAACTCAGGTGAGAAGCAGTAGCTGATTTGTTTTCTTCAAGCTGGAAGTTAAGAAAGTAACAGGAACATTTCAGATACTTCTTTTTAAAGTAGGCTGTATGTGGGGAAGTTGTGACTGCATGGCAAAAATAATATTTGGGAGCTGTATATTTAATTATTTTTTTACTTTTGTCATAATTTTAATATAAATACATTAGTAACACCTTTAGGCTAAGATTTTAGACCAAGTGTATGTTTAACATACTAAATATAAGCTTATTTTGAATTATTGTGACTTAAATTTGATGCTTAAAAAATGCCAATGCTTTTGGTTTTTAAAGACTTTTTCGTTGCATCTTTAATGCTGCACCTATATGGAAGTCTTGATTACATGATGCTATTTGTCAATATAGGATGGGGAATCAAACTCTATCCTCACTACGCAAAATTCCTAGGTGTTCTCTGCTGTGGCTTTTCTCACTGTAGTTTCCCTCCCACCTTTACTTTAAAATCACTTTTAGCTATATTGTGCCTCTAGGAAAATAAATAGAAAATTCAAGGAGGTGAAATTTAGCAAGATTTCAGTAGACCTCTCTACTCTGACAATAGTGCTAATTTTCTTGAGAAAAGATACTGTCTTTTGAAAGGATTTGTAAGAATTATATGTTAACTTGTGTTCATATTGAGATAATGTAGAAACTTAGAAACTTAGGACTTGAATTCAAAAGTTCAACTCAAAAGAGAAATTATTTGTCCAGCCTGTTCTTTAGCTATATTCACAAGTAACTGTTTATCCTTGGAGGCATTGAGAAAGAGGAAAGGGGAATTAACACTCATGTTAAATGAAAACTTTAGAAGTAAAGATCATTGTTCAAAGACAAATCAGCATGAAGAGATATCAATGAATATGAAACATTTGTTGTTACAGGCCAGATGGAATTGGAACAGTATCTGTGGAAGAGAAAGAAAGGTTTGAGGAAATTAAGGACAGACTTTCCTCCCTTTTGGAAAACCAAATAAGCCATTTCAGGTGAGTGTATAATTTATTCAATGGAAGAGTTTTCTCATGGTGTTTCATTTTAGTCTTGAATGAGTGGAGTGAAAATAAAATGGTCTGCTTGCAAAGGAATAGCTTAAATATGAAATAATTTATTTACACAGGTGGTTGTACTTGAAATTTATTTGTGTAATATGTGAATTGATAGATATTATAGAAATTATTATGCAAGAATACAGGCCTTGATTTTTTTTTTATTTTTTTCAAAGTTCAAGCTTTGTGTAAGTCTAACCAAGAAAATTGTCTGAATGAAAGTGACTGTGCCATAACTATTTCTGAATTATTATGGATCAAGAAAATCATAGGAGTAGAAACATCTTTAATAGATGGCAGCTAAAACTTTTCTTTATGTCTAATGGAATTTTCTTGGTTCCATTAGACATAAAGAAAAGTGTATCCATGAAAGATACACTTATCTTTCTTAAGAGTCATCATTCTCAATAAGGAGTTTGTCATACTGAGGAATGTCAATACCAGCAGAAGATGTTTAGAAAAGGAGTATGAGAAACAGAGGAAACATGGGATTTCCTGCTATTTTGCAACAATTGATGGTTTATGAAACTTAGTATAAAAATTGCAGACAGACACCAAACCTGTTACTTTGTCACACTAAGCCAACCTATCTGCCACTATTCTGTCAGTCTAATCCTTTTAGACTGTATGTATAGATTAGTTTTTTGTCTCTGTATCACATCATAACAGCCAGTTCCACAGTTTAAATAGTTCTTTGTGAAACAGAACTTTTTGGCAGGGCTGACTATGAGTTTGTTGAATGCCTCTCTGGTTTGGTGAGGTAAATATCTAGTATTCAGTAGCATCATAGGTCATTGGGGATTTTTTTGAGCATAGTGGTCATAGCAGCCTTCACTTGGGACTTCATATCCATGTTGAACTAAAGAGAGCTAGAGCTCTCCTTGGAGAGTATTCCTTTCAGGAAAAAACAACAGTGTTTCCTTTCCTCTTTCCTTCCTTCTATGGGAACAAAGAGCTCTTGCAAGAGAAATGACACAAGTGTTCCCTACCTTCAGGCCTTCATGTGCATGAGGCTAATTAGAAAATGTATAATAAAGTCTAAATGATCTTTTGAGTTGGAAAAAGTAAAAATCCCCATCATACCTGCTAACCTACACATTAGAGTTGCATTGGTGAGGTTGGTCTACAACAGTTACCATAAATCCTTTCTGCCTGAGTCATGGTGGATTTTGAGCAAATTTAAACAGCATTAAAAATTCCTTCTTGAGAGCAATTAAATGTGTCATTCAAACATGAATGATTTCATCCTTCAGAGGACTCTAAGGTTTGCCTTAAAATCCTATTTAATCAATACAGAAAAACTGTGTTCTGCTAGGTGAAAAGTAATTACTATTTCTTACTCTGAAGAAATATTAGAAATAAAACAAAATAATAGGTGAAATGTCTGGATTTAAACGAGGATACTGGCATAATACTGGAAGAAAGAAAAAAGATAGTTTCTTAGACTCTGAATTTATAAAGCATATAAAGTCACAATATAAGACATCCTGACAAAGCATCGGAAGTAATATTTTAAATAGAACCTTGACTCACCACATGTATAAGGATCACCTCTGCCGATTAACAAAGAATAACCTTGGCTGTCAGATTGCTTTCTTAGGAAGATATGGTATTAAAACAACTCCATATTTCAGTCCTTCAAAATTGTTATGATAACTGTGAAATGCAGACTATTTGGGAAAATACATTCAACAGTAAGGATTTATGCAGAATATACACTGAATTTCTCTCTTTGGCCTTACTGTCCTTGAATGCCTTGTATTCCTTGTCATCAGGTAGTCCCACCATCTCCCAGGCTGGTTTCTTGCTTCCACTGTCCTTTCTTCTGTCAGTTTGGGCATCCATGCTGTTTATTTGTTATATTTCCTAGAATGTTTCAGCGTCTTTCATGCCTTCCATGTTCAGACAAGGTTTATTATTTTTTAATGCCAGATTCTCTTTATCTTCCTCATGGAATCACAGAGAGGGTGTCAGAGTGTTTGTTACCACTTTGGTTTCCTACTTGTGGCATGTATTTGGCTCCTACTTTTTTGAATTTACCTCAGACTGTTTGTAGGTTTCTTGCTTTTTTTGATTGTATCCTTTGCTTTTGTTTTTCAAGTTCTTCATTTATTTCATAGATCCCATTCTTGAAATTGTATATACATTTACTAAATGTGCATGTACTGAATTGTTTAGCCTGTTCTCTTTTGCTACATTATTAAATTGTATTGTCTTATGATTATTACTACAGAGCACCTCTTCTGCTCTGCACCTCTCAAATTATGTCCTCTTCACATTTGAGACTGAATCCAGAATAAGGTGGTTTTTTGTGGGTTTTAAATTAGCTGTTCAAAGAAGCAGTTCAAACCTGTGTCCCAAAATATTGTCATTATAGCTTGTCCTAATGAGATATCAGTCAAGTGTATATGTCTAGAGCTGAAATCTTGAATTTGCAGCTCCTTTAATCTCATTTAACATTTTGTAATCACACTGATCATTATAACTAGGGGATGAGTGGTACAGAGTTTCAAGGATCATCACCATTTTTTTTTCCTCTGGAATATGTTAGTACTTATTCTAAGCTTTGCCCTCTCTCCATTGCTTAGCGTTGTGTGCACTGGTCAGCTGTCATGGACAGTTTAATTGAAGAGTGCAAGTCTCTCCCTGCCTTTTCAGAGCAGCTCTGGACATTTGCTGTGTCCACTTAAGTGACTAGGTCACACCCGTCTGAAAAAGATGCTCTCCCTTGCCTGCCAACTGACCTGCACCTTCCAGTTTTGATACCCCCCTATGACCTTTTTAATTTTCATTTTCACTGCTGTCAGCCTGGTTCCATTATGATTAACATGCAGTCAGCCCATCCTGTGCTAGTGGCTGTCATCTAAAGTAGTTCTTAAGGTACTTACACCTTTCCTCTCTGTCACCTTCTCTACCCACTGAGACTTCTGATCTCTGCCAGCCTCTCAGGCATCAAATGTGGAAGAGACAATATTTCTGAGAAAGCTGTCATGAAGGTCTTGGACTTTAACCTCTTGCCTGGCTATGTGAATTTTGTCTCTGGAGTCTTCACAGAGATAAAAGTAAATACTGGAATTCTCACTGCAGGAAATCCTGTTTTGACCTCATTTTTAAGGCTTTATTTTGGCTGACCAAAATGTAGATCTAAAATTCGCTGATCTGAATCCTTTTATCATTAGAAAAGATTTGACTAGTGGAAAATATCAGAATAGGAGGCTACTGTTCTTGGTGACTAATAATAAAAAAAAAATAATCTCAGCAAAGCAAAAAATCCTTTTTCCAATTGGGGATATCCCAGTAAGATTTTATAGACAGGATTAAGAGAGGTTACAGTTGTCTGAGCATTGTATTCTCATTGACCTGCTGTATTGCATTATTCAGCGGACAAAAATAAAAAATAAAGCCATGAATGCAATCACTTTTTAATTTACATGATTTTAGGAGTGGGTATGGTTTAAGTTGTAGCTGATAAAATTTAAGATAAGTGCTATTCCAAGGTATTTTTAATATAATAGAAAAAAACACAGAATATCTGCCAGCATTGGCAGATATCTAGACATACCAGCATTGGTATCTCTAGAAGTTAAAATATCTGACATTTTATCATTCTCTTAATCCAATTTTAAAATAAAATACAATGTACAGAATGCTGCTTCACAGGTTCAGTGGCAGTCATGGCTACATGAGAAATAGTACTTCTTTCCAGGAAGATGACAATTAAATTCATCAGAGACCTTTAAATATCCTTCATAGCTTAAAATTTGGAAGTGATGCTTTCTGCCTTTTAGAGTTTTTTCTGCACTTAGGCCTACAATCAGCTGGTAGGCTGACACTGCTGTTATATGTGTGTACTCCATGGTAGACTACTGCAGAGGCTTTCTGCTTTTGTTGGTACTTCAGGTACGGGAGTCTTCTGCTAACATAATGAAAGCTGTATGCAGATAAATCTTAAAGTAAATTCATAAAGCAGCTTTTATAATTCTGATAATTTTATGTTCACCTTATTTTTTTTCTTTCTTTTTTATAAATTTTATTTTTTACTTTTTAAGATACTGTTTCCCTTTTGGACGTCCTGAAGGAGCTTTAAAAGCCACACTTTCATTACTTGAAAGGGTAAGTTTGAGAACATATTTTAAGTTCTGCTGAGCCTGCATTTTTCTGTTGCATTCAGGTTGCTGAAAGCAGACTCATGATTTTACTACTGGTTTGTTTTAACTGCTTACTGGAATGATGGTTGGTTTTGTTTTTCTCTCATTGTCTTCTACACAGGCAAACAGCTGTTTTCTGCAGGACTTTTTTACTGGACTTTCACTTCAAGCCACTGAATTGTAGTCAGTGACTCTGGTCCTTTTTTATTTAACACTTATCCAGCATTACCCCTAAAGTGGTACAAGTCTATTCTACAGCCCCCCCGTTTCCTGCTGTTTATGCCTTCTGCGCTGCTGATATTGTCTATACTCATATGTAATATTAAAAACATTCTCTATAACTCAAATGATATTCAATAAATGCATAATCAGAGTCAACTTAAGAAGCAAAAGCTATACACAGCAAATCTGACTTGGGCAGCTATAAATGTAAATCCTCTTGTATTGACTGGAAAGGAGAATGCCTCATAGTAAAAGCATCTCAGACATCTCTGTGGAAAAAAGACTTTAAATTCCAGCAGAGATTCCAAAGGAATTGTATCAGCAGGAGTCTGATGAAGTTATGAATTTAAGAAAGGATAGGTCCCAGGCTGTGTTGCTTTGCCAAAATTTGAGAGTTTTGGTCCTGGCAAATATTGGTTATTCTGCAGTGCATGGATAGAGATTCTCTCTTAGAAAACCTCTGCCGTGTTCAGAAAACACAAAAGGAGTCTAGGTATATATGTTTTATTTCTCTTACCATCTCAGTGATTGTAGTGCTGTGCTTTTTGAAACATCCATTTCTTCTCCCCATTCCTGCTATTACAAATGGTAATGGTGCTCAAGCACCACCGCTGTCAGTCTTGACTGGGAATAAATGTGCTTTCCTACATTTTTGAAGGCAGAATAGGTTAGAACCATCTTATTTTACCTGTCTTTGTAAAATTTGAAAAAAAAAATAAGTCCAAGAACGAAAGGTTTTGAATACTGTCAATTCACTTGTTGATAACCAGAAGTTATTGATTAACAAAGCAAGTAAATGCAGACAGAGAAGTCATATTTGTGTGCAGGTATTCTAGGAATCTGCTTCACAGCAGTGTCTTCCTAATAGCTTCTCTGTTGCTGGACTTGTTTCTTTTCTACCATGTCCTTCCCTAGACTGCATCTCTTGCTCCCTCCTTTTAACAGTAACATTTAGATACATAAGGGTGTAGCTTGTCCAGGGATCCACTTGAGAAGCATTTTTTTAAAGATTTTGAGTTATCTGAAATTTTATTATTTACATGAAAATGTGATAAAAACAGTTTTGTTTACACTTACCTGTTGAAAGTTAATGGAGTGAAGAATTAAATTAAAAATGGAAGTGAATTATCAACTTTTTTTTAACGTAGTAGTCCAGAGTATATTATGCTCCATTCATATAAAGAGGTATGGATTCTTGGTTTACCTCACTTCCAGTAGGTGAGGTAACAACTCACATGTTTTGAAAACATTTATATGGACTGTTCTTCTACTTGTCCATAATAAAATGTTCTGCTGGAAGTTCAGTGTTTTCCCTGCCCACTATACAGACAATATTTTTTTCACAGCAAGGACATGTTGAATTTGAATAACTTCACCCTGTTGAAGAGTCCATGGTTCTGCAATGGTAGAAGCTTTTCCACAGCTGAGAATCAAGCCAATTTTCACAATCACATCTTTAGTGGTACCCATACCATGATCATCTATGGTATGCTCTTGTTCTACTGGTCTCGATGCCACCCAACGACTGACTGGCATGCTGCAAGATGGCAAACAGGAGGGATAATACTGTACAGGCAGTCAAATCAGGGCTGAACAGAAACCTTAAAAGACAAAGATCCACCAGCTGAAATAGTTCCTTTTTGACTTCTGCCTGTAATCATTATCAGATCTGTAGTAACTTTAGGATACTTTTATCCTTTTCCTGTGGGGTTTGGGTAATAATTGTAACGAAGTGATATAATTGTCTCTGACACAGGTTTTAATGAAAGATATTGCCACTCCTATACCAGCAGAAGAGGTGAAGAAAGTGGTTAGAAAATGTCTGGAGAAGGCTGCCTTGATCAATTACACTCGACTTACAGAATATGCCAAAATAGAAGGTTAGTACAGCAATCAGCTGCCGAAGTGGCTGTAAAAGCCAGCAATGCCTATTAACTGCATATTCCGTGAGCAGCCTTTTCCCTTTCCAGAACAAACCCCTTCCACAGCAAGGGGAAATGTCTCATTAAAATCTCAGCTGGTGAACTGTGGAGCTTTTTCCTATTCATTGCTTTAATATGCCTCCTGGGACCCTGTTTGAATAAAAGACTAGGACTTCCTAATTCAAGTTGCCCTTTGTTCTTACTTTTGAGTTCTTCATAAATTTAAGAGGTTGTTTATGGGTTTTTTTTATTTCTCTAGCTATTTCTAGTGATTAAACTACTGACAGGAAATTCTTTCCTTAACAGCAGTGTCACTGCCTTGAAATTTGAAAACTGTGTATATATACTTTTCTGAAGAATTTATAAGGCAGACAAATAGATAAATGCTATTTATTTTTGCTGCTCAGTCATCAGATGTATAATAATAATCAGATTATCAAAACCTTAATTACATCCTGATTTAATGTATTAAGGGGACAAAATACTAAGTTTGAAGGTAATCTGGTGTTTTTCTGAAAGTTTGATATGTTCTATAAAGTATATAATGAAATTAACTAAAATTTTGCTTAAAAAAATAGCCAGGGTACACAATATCATTTTACTATTTGTAAACCTTATGTAGAACAACAAGGCAGTCATAATAGTAAAGTGCCTTGTCAAGACAGACTTTTATTCTCCATAAAGTACAAAAAGCTAGAGATACTCCTGTCCAAATGTTTTCAAGAATAGAAAGCTGTATGCACTGGATTTTTGGAGCTAGAATTAATCTCAGGAAAATATTGTAGGATTAATTCAGTTTTTTTTAATAATACAAATTTTATCCATATTAATTTTTTAATAGCATGTATTTCTAGCAATACACCAGAAGAAATAGAGCCAGCTTAGGAGCAAATTCAAGAAGCCTCAAATATTTAGCAATACTACAAAGCCAACTTTTTTCCCATTTTTATCTCTGCTCAAATTCTCTGAAAAACATGAGTTAACTGATCTCACAAGTGATTAACAAAAGATTCATCTCATCACTATAGCAACCAGTATTATATCATGGAAGTAACAACACGAAACCATCCTAGTAACCAGTTTATCATAATTAATTATGATACCATGTTGTGTTAAAGAAAAAAAGGATGAATATTAAATCTATTCTGGAAAATGAAAAGGAAAAAAAAGAATGTTTTCCTTAGTTTTTGTATTTCTGTATTCATAAAGGGAAATGTTAATGTCCAGTATTTAAGTCGTGTATCAAACCTGTTGAAACAGTGAGTATAAAAATTAGAAATATTTTTATAATATGAAGAAAGCTTGCAAAAGATACCTGAACACACTGACAATAACATGGATTGGAAAGTTTTTTGCTGTGATACAAATGCATCTTTTTCCCAGGATTTTTTACTGTATCCTAGAGAATTGTGGGACTTCCCTTGAAGTAGCAAAGTTTGCACTTTAAGATATTCACACTGTTAGCACCAAGTAAGCTGGAACAGCACATGAACCTGACTCCCATATTTCAACTGCAGTTTTCTTTTTTGGATTTATTGTCTTTTGGTTGGAACACAACTAGATTTATTTAAGTAGTTTTACACTCATGTATCTGTAAACTCAAAGCACAACACATCATTGCATATATAAAGAGAAATAGGTGAAGCACTTTTCTGAGAATAAAGTACTGTTGAAAGTGGAGGGCTCCAGCATCAAACATCAGAAAATTCAATACACTGGATTTCAATGGCAATGAGACCTGTATTGATATCTTTTGATACTCTGGTCATTACAAACATCCTACTTTTGTACCAATATAAGTGTAATATTTTTCAGCAATAAGTTTCATCCTGCTCCTTTAGGTTTATAGGAGCATTATTGTGCCTGTGCACTGAAGTTACATTCTTCTCTTGAAAGTAATTTATGTTAGTGTTTGCATTAAATGCTTACTCCTCAAATTGCATACAGAAAGCATAGAGTCCTTATCTTTATAATATTACTGATGTCCTCAAATGTGGCTGGCACATCTTTTGGAGATTTTTGTCCTTTGACTGTTTCTTTAGTGAACAACATCATATTAGTCAGTCAAAATGTAAATATGACAAGAAAATATCAGCTATAGACCAATAGCAAATACCTAAAAAATAGAGATACAAAGAAGGTTCTAATGCAAGTAATATTCTCACATATGTTTCTGAATTCCCTTGCACAATACGGATGCAAGCTTAGTGCCTGAGCTTGAAATAAAGACTATATAGGGCTAGTAAATGCAAATATATTCATCAGAAATATGCACCATTTCTCCCTCACATGAAAAAAAAAACATCAATTGTGTAATGTACTCAAGATGTTAAGAAGCTATTAACTCCTTATGTGGTATTTATTCTTCTCTAACTATATGAGTTTTATTTCTGTAATGATGTTTTTCTTTCCCTGTTTTTTCTTATTTAGCAACAGCGGAAAAGGACTCAGGTGATTACTATTTGTGTGCATGTCTGCATGTTTTACAGATGTAGTGTGTTGTGTCTGTTGTTATTCTTTTCCTGTATTTGAACAATACCAAGATACTGACCAGAACATTTGTGAATACTAAAATTAATTTTGGTGTAGTTTAGTCCATGTATTAACACTGATCCTTAATTATGATGTACCTATTTATTAGCAGTTTAGCTAACTTTCTGTTTTGGAGTATGATGAAGTTGTATTTTCTGTGAAAGGGGTATAAGTAAATGATGCAAAAAAGTTTAATTTTGTTAAATTCAAAAACAGTTTGAGTATTTAGAGAAATGTAATTTCATAGTCCTCTGCAAAAATTGCATGTTTCATAACAGAATTGCTCAATTTATTAATGAGGATATTGCTAGGAAAACTAATTTTACAAAATTTTTGCATTTCTCTGATATGGCTTTGTGTAGTGATACATTTCTTTTTCTAGGTATAGCTGAGGGTTACATGGATGGTAGTTCTTTGTGTTCCTGATTTCATGATGATATGGTATATATTCTCCAAAAGTACAGGGAGGGGGTTTTGAGTTCTTATATCCCAATATTTAAAAATCATCCTACAAAGAGCACAGCTGAAGTGGTATTTTCAGCTGAGCAGAACTGGCTGCATAGAAATGTGAGGGATTGTGCATATCTAGACTGTGAAATAGAACTGTGCACTGCTTTGTCTTACCTGACATATGCACCTAAAGAAAGATTGATTGTGGTGCTTTGTGGGGTTTCACAAACAATACCAGCCACAGTTATGGGAAGGGGCATTGAGCTGGTAGTACTCTCATGATGAACTAATTTTACATCTGGAGAGACATACTGGTGTGATGACAACCAAGTTGCATGAAGGTAGTTCAAAGAGATGCTCCTTGCCAATGAGGGGCTTGAAAATTACTAGCAAATTATTAAGCCTACTTTTTTTAACAACTGTGTCCATAACTGAAGTAAAAAACATTCCACTGATTTCCAAGACTTCCACTGTTTTTTGTTTAAAAACTTCAAATGCCCTGTAAATAGGAGGTGTTTCGGAATTTTTAACGAAGAGAGGAGGCAGTGTGCTGGTGGAATGGATATTCATGGCACAGTCTGTTAGGGTGAGTTGGTGGGAGCTCACCTTGTTCAGATGATCTGTTGACCCCTCCCTTCAACAGGAGAGGTTCCTTAGGCAGGGGACTCCAAGAGCTCTGAAGGTCCTTCAACAATTTCTCTGTGCAAAGCCAATCTCACAGCATCAAATGCAAAACACCCTAAAGGCAGTTTCCCTTCTACATAAGATACCTAAAGCTAGATAGCACAAATATTCATTTTAATATTTTTATGCCTCTAGGTATTAAAGAAAATATCTCCTTAAATTAGAAATTCAGAAACAATTAATTGAAAATAATTGAAAATCATTCAGGAAATTTTAGAGATTTTTTTCCTTTCACCTTGCACTCCAAAACCTCACCTGTGCATTTTTGTACAACATGTATCACCTCAAGTACAAATCTTCCTTGTGCCACACACTTGCTAATCGTAGTTTTTCTCTTTATGTAGGAAACCCAAAACCATTAAGCATAGATGATATAGTTACAGACACATAAATAAATAATAAACTGCTGTACCTGATTTTAATCATTTTACATTAGGTTTCTCCACAGGATAGCGAAGTTGTCCCTTAAGTGACCTGGCAAATAACTAGATTAGAGAATGGATGAGAGGAAAGCCTATCACATATAGTGAGTAAGTGCACTGAGTTAGCTGAAGCTAGAGGTTTATAGGCTGTGTTTATAATTTAGTTGCTTAAATACCAGCTCTGACTAAAAATGCAACTGAAAATTAATCAGAAACTCAGGAAGAAAAATCACTTTATTAAAAGGAGTAGATAGACTGTATCCACTGGAATCTTGTGAAGCATTGAAGGTGTTTCTCTGATGCAAAAGACAGAGCCACTTAGACAAATCCCAATACAATGACATTTTAAGGCCAAATCCTGCTCCTAGCTGGATTCCTACAGACTTCATAATGAACTTGATGTTCAATATGCTTAGCCCTAATAACATATATTGTACCTTTGTGGAAAATGAGAAAAACTATTTCTCGATAACTGTTATTTACCCTTTAACTTATACACTGAATACTGGTAATGAAGCTTGAATTTCAGGAGTGTCCTTGTTGGGTAAATACAGAGGTGAATATGCAAATTCTTCTTGTTGTGAGAACCCTTTCTTGGCAGTGTGGTTGCCAGGTTCCCAGGTCTATTCCCCAAGTGCTCTCATTTTCACAGTCTCAGCTGAACAAGTCTCTGAATGTTTTCCCAAAGACAGTGGTTACTTTCTTAATGTCAAACATGGTGGCATAACCAGCACTTCCATCAAAAATATTTGTTTACAGTCAGGATGATGTTTTCTTGAGCATCTCTCATCATTGTACTGTTATGAATATAGAAAAGATTTTTTAACAAAAATTACATTTGCCATGGCAATTATACAGGGTTCAGCATGTCATTCCTTATTACATGTACAGCTGAATTTCTCATGGAGCAGCTAATCTGCTCAGTCAGTGTAATTACCATTATGAAGAGAATAGCAGGAAATCTACTATTATAATTTTGAACTATATCTAAGAACGCTCATATAATGTCCTGGTAGCTGGCAGCAAGGGTTTATAATTTGTCAAGGATATGAATCACAGCATCAGTACATGAAAATCTCTTTTTAAGTACGATCCATTTTCATTTCAGCATATGCTCCCTTTGTGATTTCACTACCTAAAAGTACTTTTTAAATTGTGTTCTCTATGGCATGTATTCCTGTCTTATTCGGTATTTAACTTACATTAACTCTTCCTATAGATAATGTTGAACATAAATGGACCCACCCTATTCTGAGGCCAGAGACAAACAGCATTCTTCATATGCTTTTTATATACTTCCTGTGAAGAGCCTATAGAAATTTGCAAGGCTCCATCACCTGTTTTATCTCCCTCAAAAAAGATGGCTTTCCTCACACAGACTTCTTATTTTTTACTTGTATTTTATACACATCCATACACACAGAGTAATAAAATGCATTATTTATTCCTTCTCATAAATTAATCGTTTTCCCGCTTAAATTTATTAGAAATCTGAATGGCTGAGTACTAATTAATTCTGCTATTGCTGTTGTTATTGCCTGAGAAAAGACATAAACTTACATATAAATAAATTTTTGACCACAGGGGCATTACCTTGCTGTGCAGATATAAAAGGCATTAAAGTAGTAAATGTCCTTAAAGCAAACAGGGCAGTATTTATCATTGTCCATGAATATTAATTTCTGAGGCAATAGACAGATTGTAAAGATTTGAAATATAAGTTCAGCTGTCTTTTAACTCACTATTTCTAAAATTCTGTAATAACTCAGTATAATGCGCTCCTTCTGCCAAACAGTTTGAATAAAAAGAATAGGAATAAATTCCATTAAAATTGGAGCAAATAGTTACTCTGGAGTGTACAGTTCTTCAAAGACAAATCAGTTGTCGTGCCAAAATTTGTTTCTATCAGAAAGACTGCCAAAGGCTGAATAAATGTTAACTCCATACAAGAGAAGGTCAGGAGAAACTCAGAAGTTTGCTGGGGTTTAAGACATCGATCATTAACATACTCATTACATACAAGTTTCTAAAGGAAGGGTAGTATGTAAATGCCCTCAGGGCTCAGAAGGATCTGTCTGGCTTAAAAAGGAAGAACACTACAAGCATTATTGAAGCTGAGAAGGCAAGTGGAGAGAGTCATTGTACGTGGAGAGGACTTGATTAAAGCTCTCCATGCATGTTCATTTCACTGAACAAACACAAGTGGGTTGCACAGCAGCATAGCACCTTCTTGGTCTCTGTTGTGCAACTAAATGGAAATGAGGATATGGGCAAACATCCCTGATTTCAGTTTTGGACCTGTAAAAGAATCTCCAGACTGCATCCTGATAATCCTTTGTAAACATACGTACATCCTCCTTTAACAGTAGGGCTGAGTCAGTCTTTTTCACTGTGCTTCCCCTTTTCAGTCCCCTGCATCACCCACAGGAAGGTCATTTCAAGTCCTATGTGCTGTACAGGTGTATCATCACCTTACAGTTAAATTAGTTCCCAAACTTAAGCATGCCAACCTCATCCTGTATCCCAAATGAGGGAGGGATAGTTGCATCCTTCATTAGCATTTCATCATCTCCAGTTCCTCCATGCCCTGTGATGCATTTTTAGACAAGAGTTTAGTACTCATGCAACCTAGGCTTTCATTACCATGTCTCAGAGTAGCTGCCTGTTCTTCATTTCTATCCTTTCAGGTGTCTTTCTCTATTAAAATTTGAATTCCGTCTTCTTGAACATTGGTGACAAGAGCTGTGCAAAGTCATCCCCATTACATGCTTTGCACAGTATTAGCAGTGCTGTTACAGCAGAAACATTTTATCTGATATAGAACTGTTCTGTCTGTACCATGCTTGTGTCACGCAGCCCTTCTGTGAAAAGTTAATTCAACCCAGCCATAGAGTTTTGATCATTTTAAGATGACATATTCCCAGTTTACAAGAAATTTTTATTGCTGTTCATGTGTCAAAATGTATTGTCCCTTCTTAAAGTACTTTAATATGTTTTTCTTTAACTCTTGAAGGTATTTTGATCTGTTTCTTTCTCCTATTCTTCAGAATTATAGAATTCATATTACTGCCTTTCTATTTCTCATGTTTTACACATTGTCATTGTTCTTCTAATATTTATTCTAAAGTCCCTGGTGAAAATGGTAAGGAATCTAAGATGAATCTTCAAGGAATAGCTCAAGAATTTTTTTTTGCACTTTCTCAGCACTGCTTATTCCCTTTCACTTGAGGCATCTTCTTCATACCCCACACAGTTTCTTTTTTAATCCTCATTTTCTTCAGCTTAACTGGTAGTTTTCCCATGAGGCACAGTATCAAATGCTTCATTAAAGTCAGACTAGATAAAATCCACTGAATTTCTTTT